AAGGTTCAAGGGGTTAACAGACGAAGTTTTGACAGCAATGGCAATTAAATGCTAATTTGCAGTTACATTAAATCTCTCTTAAACCCTGACATTGTGAAGATTTGTGGAAAACAGCCAGTGTTTTTGTGCTGTGACATCCCTGTCGGCGGTGAACACTTGCGTTCAGAAGATGGCACCATTGCACTGCTCTCCGTTTCCGTGACTGCCTCAGTCCAGCCTGGTGTACAGCATGACAGAAAACTAAAAAAACTCTGATCATGACTTATGTGACGGTGTGCTCCAGCTGCAGCGAGAGTTTGTGGGTGGATGACAGACTTTACATCACATGTTTCTTCAAGGATGTGGACCCTTGCTGCACAGAATTGACTTTAAGATGTGATGTAAATCGTGTCATCCACCAAAATCGGCAGAGCGTTTGCACTGCAAATACAACAAACAGGAAAACGATTGGTGCTCCAAACAAATGACGCATGAGGAGAGAATCTGCGAGGAGATTCTCCCTCGTTGCCACCTTTATAATTCATCATTAAAAGAGTTGTAATTACTGCAGGACTTTGGAGGAGCTGTGATTTATGCATGTTTTCCATCTACGCAGCATCTACACATGAGACGGTGCCATTTTCATTTTGTCGGACACTGCAGCTATCCATCAATACATTAGAGTTGTCAGAACTTCTGCATTTATTTCGGGTGATTAAAGACGTTCAAGCTACTTGATATTTCTTCTAAAATGAGACATAAGGCTTCACTGGTTTAACTGAACTCCACACAGGAGGTTTATGAGCAGCTGAATGACAGCATCACACACTCAGCTGCTTTGTAAAAATGAAATGGGTTGTAGAGAAAGTAGAATGTGTCGACGCTTTTCATCGATTCTGGGGATTCTGCTGGTCTTTAATGTGCTTTTCAACTTCTATTAATAAGCAGCCGTGTCCCTGGAAACACGAGATCTTGCTTGACATTAGCAAAAAAACCAGAGACGGGTATTCAGGTACAGTTCATTACACAGAGATTTGAGCACTGATGCATAATGGAAGAGAAAATCCCTATTCAGTGTCAATTTCCACTCAGCAACACTCCCATCTCATTCACTGTTTTTCCTCCTTTTCTTTCCGTAGACAAAGAGTGTAAGTCCTCTTTTCCGTGAAGCGTACATAATTGACAATTCCTGTAAAAAAAAGGTCCACAGTAGGAGGGTTTCTCTGAAGCCAGCAGCTGGTGACAGCTCCTTTACTTGCACCCAAGAAAATCTTCAGGAGGCGGATATCACGCTCGCACACAGTAAACTTTCAAAGTAAATTCAACAATGTGAAGGCCCGCACTGTGGCAGAACGGTTAAATACACACACATGCTTTAGATAAATCATCTTAATTAGTTTTTTTAAATAACATATAAACACGCCCGGCTGGAAATATGCTTGACATTAGCAAACATCAGAAAGAGGTAGACGGGACACGAGTGAGATTATACGTTGATCCACAACCGTCTTCATTTATGTTCTTCTAAATATTTAAAAATGTGCCAGGTTTAACAGTTGGCCTGTCACTGAGCTAATGCTGCTCAAAATAATCCGCCGGGGAGACGACAATATGTATACGCACACTGCAGACTCGGTATAATTAATGAATGTAGGTCATGTCCCGCTGAAGTCGGAAAATTGTGCAGCTTTACAGTGAAGTGTGTAATGAATTACCTCAACGAGCTTCTTCGCTGAGCTCCTCATTCTGGTGATGAACATCTTTGATATGTTAAACGCATCGCTGTACACACTACACGATCACTGGACCCATGCGCTGCCGCTAAACATCTCATCTCAAAGCCATTAATCTTCAGCTGTAGCAGCCTGGGAAGGTTCTCTGGATTTTAAAAGACTGGCTGCAGGGATTTACCACGAGAACATTGGTGAGGTTGGGCACTAATGGTGGGAAGATAAGGCCAAGTTTATAGCCCAGTTTCATCTGACAGGTGTTTAATGGGACTGTGCAGGTTCTTCCAACGACAAAGCAGTAAAACTTGTGCCTTTATAGATCCGACTTTGGGTGTTTTTAACGGGAAAACTGCTTAGTATGATCAAAAATCACCTATTGTAGCATCTTATTGTTTATAACTTGGAACTACGTGGCCTAGAATAAACTATAACGAGACTACAACATGACCTACAAACGCACACGGTGATGAAAAATGGTATCTGCTCCATTTTTTTAGAAACATCCAGCTTCCCCGCAGGCTCGGCTACCATGAAAAATACATGCGTGGAACAAGGCAGAGGGTGGCCTCGTGAAATGTAAACAATCCGCCAGCAGCCGCTCACAACAAAAAGTAAATCACGTGAATGTTTGAAGTACGTTCACTCCTACCGCTGATGGTGAGCCCCAGCTCCACGCCTCTCTTCTTCGGCAGCTTGACGTGGAACGTGCCGCTGCTCGGCACCACCGACTCTGTAACAGAAACACACACACGGCGTTACGCACAAGGAGAAAAGCCACTAATAAAAAATAAAAAAAAGAGCAACAAGTGGTTCTTTTCATCCTGCTTAACATTTGTAATTACAAGGCATTTAGCTCTTGCTCTTATCTTCTCTGAATTGCTCTTCTCCGGGGCAAACAGCGGCTTCAAATCCTCACTGTTTGCCTGCATGACTCATAACACTAATTCCGGCAGTGAAACAAACTCTACATCCAGGCACAAACACGACAAGTGAAAATTGTAAGCAGAGCAGCCACTTAAGACTTTTAGAACAAGTTGTTTGGATCGGTTTCTCGCTTTGGCGTCCTTCTAACTCAACAAGAAGCTCGTAGCATTCACTGG